AAAATAGTTTAAACTATAATTATTCAACTTGTAAAAAATTATTAATTATATTATTAATAATTTAAAAACTTTTATTATTAGTACTTTTTAATTAAAATTTTGAGGCATCTATCTTTTTGCACTAGCCAATAATTTGTTTTGATACTAATCGATTTTGAATCAAGCAATACTAATCAATATTAATTAATTTTAATTAGTATCAATCGATTCTAATCTGTATTGCTAACAATCGACAGGTATGCTGCTTATCAATTGATATTACTATCTGTCAATCAATTGCCAACCAATTTAAAAATTTTCTGATGATAGTGTGTATTAGATAGATTATATTAGATTTTGATAACCTATATGTAATCTATCAGCTAACAGATAAGTTGTCAAAACTTTATTTTTATTTTTAATTTTTTTTTAACAGCCATGTCATATACCCTGCTTTATTAATAAAGTTTACTAATTCTCAAACTAGTGAGTTACACTATGCCTCAAGGCAAAAAAACTAAAATGTGGCTCACCCAGTTACTTTGTATAACTAAATACTAACTCAGTATCTATATGCGACCTGCCAAAGATAAGTTCGGGCTTCCCAGTTTGGGTCAATTTACCTTAGAAAGGCCACCCCAAATCACTGTCCTGGTTCACTAGCCTGTTATGATTATTTTCTTTCCCAATCTTCTTCTTTTAGCTTTCTGGTAGAAGAACTCTACTACAAGAACAACAGGAAATTTACAAAATTAAAAGGAAAACTAAAAAAAAAATAAGAATCTAAACTAAATGAAAAAAAATAATACATCAAAGAAAAATAAAGAAAAGGAGAAAAAGGCTGCAAAAAAGATAGCTATGATGATACTATTTTTGCCTATACTAGGCTATATAAATTATATAAGTTGTATAGAAAGAAAAATCTTACTCTAACACTATATATAATAAGAAAAAAAAAAAAGAAAAAAAAAAACATCTAATATCTAGAAGTTTCTATATGTGATCCTCTGATCTCTTATAGTCCATTATTGTTTAATTAAGAAACAGTACCTGAGTTAGCTTGTGACAGGTTTTATTTCAGTAGACATGTTCTAATTTGAAAGAAATAAACACTGCTAATCTTTTAAAGAGAGTACACCAGTTTTTCTACATTTTGGCTAAAATTTTTAAAAAATTCCAAAACTGCAAGAATATAGTAGAGGTATATAGTTGTGAGTACTTTCAAAATTTCTAAAAGAGTGGTATAAAAAGCTCATTTGTTGTTCTCCTTCTATTATATTATCTATGCTTAACTTCGTTGACAATATGGTCTTACTTTTGTTAGAGCACCACTATCCCCAAAATTTTGTATACAAGAGCATCTATTAGCCTATTATCTTGGTACTAATGCTTTTGGTTTGCATGCCAAATATGCAAAGAAGTTCCCCAAAGAGAAAGATAACCTTTACAAGAACCACCACATAGTGCTTTCTTCTTTTCAAATGAAATTTTTTGCTTCTGTTCAGTAGGAAATTTTGGTATAAGTAATCATCAAAAAGAATTGTCTGTTGCCGAAACTTTATTGTTCAACTAGTAATTATAATACCAACTATAAAAACCTTATTCTCTCTTTAGAAAATATGACTTCAAGATTAACCTCTATGGCATAGTAATAAAAACTCAAGTTTATTTGCTCTTTCTGTTTTTTATTATATTTGGCATACTACTAGTTCAAAAATAGCCTTTAAACTATTTTTTGGTTTTATTTGTGGAATAGTTTAATTCCAGCTTACAAACTTACTGTAATCAATTTCTCCTTTGTACCTTTCTTCTAAAGCCTCAAATAGCTCATACAATGAAAGGCTTGAACCTTCAAAGAGGCATTTTAATGTTAAATTTCCACCTTTGTTATGGAAGGTTGATTGTGTACTGGCTGTGAAATATCTAGTGGTAAATATATGAGCCTATGATTTAGTACAATAGCCTAAAGATCTTATTAAGTAATCACTAGATTGTGGATAATCTTGTAGTAATTTCTCTGGATCTCTTGCAGTATAGATTATACTATCATTTTTTTCGGTGAAATATGCGAATAAAGGTATTGTGACTTAAGTTACGATGCCTTTGTTCGCCACATCTCACCGGAAAAAATGATGGTATAACCTATACTGCAAGAGATCCAATTCTCCTATTTTTGAATAAGTAAAAATAATTAGTATTCATAGTATAAAGCTTATAAAGTAATAATACTATTTCTAGAACAAGAAGAATTATTGATATTATATGTTTGATTCTTCACCCAGAGTGCAATATATAAAAAAATTATTTTACAATATTAAATCATTTTAATAATACATATTATAATTATAATCTCTATTTTATTATAATAAAATTATAATCATAACAGGTACTAGCAGAATAATTTGGTAGTATAAAATAATTTTTTTATATGTTACACTCTGGGTAAAGGATCAGTTATGTAATATTGATGGTTCCTCCTGTTCATTGCTAGTGATGTGAGTGCAATGCTATAGTTTATTCTAATTATAATGAATTATGATATTTTTTGCCATAATTTATTAAAATTACAACAAATTATAATATTACTATCTATATATTTCTCGTTGAAATTTTTCTTTGTTAAACTATTTCTCATGATATAAAAACCTTTAATAAAATTATCATAATGAGAACCAAGTACTCCTTTTAAATTTTTTGGTAAGTTTTGACTTATGTGTCAAATGCAATATATATATAATATATTGAGAAATTGTACTGCAATAGCACTATTAACTGCTCCATTATTAAGATTTTTGGTACAAATCCGGCTGTCTTTACAACACATTTAAAGGCTCATTTATAGAAGAATTGTGTTTTGTTATTAACAATGGCTTGAACCACAATCTGTATTTTTAAATTATTATCCAGTATAACAAAAATAGACAAAGGGCGATTATATTAGTTAGTTTTGTATATATTATCGTATATTATAATATAGCTATAAAATTTGTTACTTAGGGCTTATCCAGAAAAAGTAAGAAGTAACTAGGTCAAATTCTATTAGAACAAACTATTGGGGTCTTCGATTCTCTTTTCATTAAGCTTTTCTAATAACATTCTTGTATTATCTTCACTTAGTTCAGACTGAAACATCTAAATTGTTTTGTATAGATTTGGTCTGCATATTCTAACATTATATTTTTCTCAAATTATTCTATACTGCATGGTTGTATCTGCCTTTGCAACTGTTATTAAAAAACAAATTTATTTAACAATTTCTTTTGATAACTTGAATAACATTAAATCAAACTGGCTTGCTAGTAGATTAAATTCATGTTCAATATGTTTGTTATTAAAAGTAATAACTTCAATATGATTTTTATTATTTTTGAACCAAAAATTGACTTTCTATGAGTAGAGCTGGAATCCGTTGAATATTCATTATGACTATTCAATGAATATTCACGGGTTTTTGCCATCCATGAATGATATTGAATAAATATTCAAATTTTATATGGATGTTCACATAATAGTAAAATCTTAGATTATTCATCTCGAATATTCATAAATTCTGTGTAAAAATTTAATAATACTCTAATCCTTAACAATTTGTGAATTTTGTATAATAAATATTCACTCTTAATTAAATATTCTTTTTTAACCGTGGATATTCACAGATCCCAGCTTTATCCATAAGCACTCTACTCAGCAAAACATCTCACTTGACTTTGCTAGTTTTCTAGCATGATGACACAAATATATTTATTTTATTATTTTTTTTGTTTTTGTATTTATTCTTCTACCACCACCAATTCGTATTCCATAACCTTTAACAATAGCGTATTTCTTCATGAAGTTCACTACTTGATCCCAGTTTTTAAAGGCTTTCCCTATAGAAAATTCTTCGACATTATCAAAGCTAAAACAAAAATAGTAATGAGAAAAAAGATCAACAGTAAATAAAACAATATCAGAAAGCTCATCTGTACTATTATATGCTGCTAACACTTCAAGTTCTATATCTTGATTGTCCAATGCCTTAGGTTCTAAATTTTGATTGTTTAATGCTTCAAGTTCTATATTTTGATTGTCCAAAACTCAAGTTCTATGTCTTGCTTATTTGAATTATTCATATTTATTGTTGCAAAAGTAATAAAGTAATACTATAACTAAAATGTAAGATGAATTTTTACTTTAAATAAAAAAGGTTTAATTTCTTTTTTATTCTTGTTTTGCTGCTGGATTTTTTTTTTTTTTACTTCTTACTTCATTGCCTTAAAATTTTCAGTTTGTTTTTTTTTTTTCACTTGTTTTTCTTTTTTAGATTGTAATTTGAAATACTTTACTTTCTGATCGCATATTCACATCATTATCATATTGTGGCACTCGTAC